AAGCTTCTCCAGATATTAATCCAATAGGAAGCAGTATATTAAATATATATATATATATATATATATATATAAAAGAATGAAAATCAATATTCAAGCAAAGCTCTTCAAAAAAAGCAATAAAAACTGTTACAAGTAAAATTATAATAGAAAAGATATCATTAATCAATGGATGAAAGAATGATGAAGATTATAGAATGTCAAAAAGCCTATATTAACAAACTATTTGTAGCAACTCATTGACTAGTTCCCTTTTACTTTTGGTTTAACATTGCTTGACTATACAAAAGTGAACTAGTTACCAAGTTGTTACACCTATTTTCACTTAATCTTCTACTGCACCATTTTCTTTGAAATACTCAGAAATTTAAATTTTTTTTTATACATATTTTATGTTTGCTTTCAAGGCATAACATTTTCTTTTTATGTACCTGTTGGTATATATATAAAAATATAAAAGTGAACATTGAAGTCAACACTCAAAGGCAACAGGCTGTTTCATGCTAAACATAATCATCAGGTGGCCTGACAATTGCATCTAGCATGAAACAGCCTGTCACATCTGAGTGTTGACTTCAATGTTCACTTTTATATTTACAAACGCTCTATCTCTGATATTGAGCACTTTATCCCATAAATATAGCACACCTTAAAACTATATTTCTTATATATATATATATATATATATATATATATATATACTTTAGTTCTTTCCAGTAAAATTGAATTGTCCTTGGTATATAAAAAAATTCTATATATCATTATTCCATATATACATCATAGAGAAGGGTGCAGTAAATATATATATATATATATATATATATATATATATATATACACCTACACCAACAGGAGGCACAATGGTGTAATGAATAGTGACTCAGACTGAGAAATTGGAGGGTCAAGTTTAAATTCCAACTGAGTTTATTACAGTGGCTTGGGAAAGGTATGAATTCATTTCTTCTCATCCCAAATTTATGAATAAATAGCAGAACATACTATAGAGTTCTATAGCCTTGTGCAGCAACAGGTTTAAGAGAAGGAAAAACTCCAAAACCAGGATTGTCAGGGTTGAGCTTCATCAAGCTATCTGGCCCAGGAAACAGCATTGCTACTACAGCTCCAGTACAAATGTTGTCCCTACATCACTTGTGATTTTGTGTGTGTGTGTGTGTGTGTGTGTGTGTGTGTGTGTATATATATATATATATGCAAGCATGCACAGAAATAAAATTCCATAATTCATGTTAATGGGAATAGTGATCACAAGAAATTTTTTTTAAGCATTCTCTCAAAATTATTCATGAAACCCAAAAGTGCCAACCAAAACAAAATAATAAAAATATGCAGCAATTATTTTTCTTTTTTTTTTGATAAAACTAAACTTTTGAAGATGGGACAATTACCCTTCCTCATTTAAAATGAAAAGAAAAGTAATTTAAAAAAAAAAGGAATAGAATGTACATATTAAACTATAATAATATTTATATGAAACTAATTGTTGTAGTCTGAATTATCAGAGGAAAGTTAAGATTTGATCACAACCTCAATAGAACAACTGGAAGGAAATCTAAGCAAGGATAATTTCCTGGATAGCATTATGATTGAGGAGAGTGTGTGTACATGATGTAGTCTGTCTGAATCATCAGGCCATCAGCAGAGGCAGAAATGATATTGATCCGCTAAAATTGAGGGTAGTAACTTTGAATGGCAAGCTGAAATCATCATCAACACTGCCAGCATTATTATAGTTATAGAGCAGCAAAATATTTAATGCCTGACCTATTTCAAAAATTACAATCATTTATACAAAGTGAATATCCATCAACATCAAATATGAAGGTAACTTGATGTTGTCAGGTTTGTTATTACAAACATATGGTCTCCAGAACTCTTTCTTTATTTATTCAATTTCAGAACTAACAAAAAGTAGTTGTAGTAGCAGTAACGACCGCAGTGTTGGTGGTCATTGTTGTAGTAGTAGTAATAATGTTGTTTTACTCTAATTGTAACAACAAAAATAATTACTTATTGATTTTTTTAAGTTAGGATTTTCAGAAAGTGAATGTAAAAATGTCTTAATTCAGATTACATTTTATTTTCCTTTACAAATATTTTTTTAATCATTTCACCCCAAGCAAAGCAGTAAAGTTACTAAGACACAAGGGGTTACTGAGTGTGAAAGAAAAAGAATAAGAAAAAAGAGAAATATTATTAAGGAGCAAAAACAATAGAAGAAGAGTAATCAAGAAGACAGTAGATAACTATTGATATTGTATTTAAATTTTTGAAGATCAAAATTGGCTGGAAAGTATGGAGCCAGCAGAGAGTTCCACAAGTGAGAAGTGCAAGAAAAGAAACTCTTATCATTGATCTTAGGGTTACATCTAGCCAGTTCAACTGCAAATTGATGAAATCTTGCCACCAATCTAGTACTGCATTTAAATTCATAAAGTCTAGGTTCATATGGCAAAGTTCATGAAAGTATTTATAGAAAAGGTATAGGTAAGCTAGATTACAGTGATGGGAAAGTGACTGAAGCCAAGATGCCAGGTCAGGACCAATAATATTCTTCTTTGGATTTTATCAAGAATATCTAAATATATAGCAGGAACACCAGACTATATGTGACAGTAATATTTAAAGCATGGATGAATGGTAGATTTACAAATATATAAGATCCTGGAGAGAAAAACTGTCTAGCATGACACACTGAATCAACTTTTAGCAGCAATAACAATGACACATTCATCATTAACTTTATACATGTTAACCAATAACAAACAGCAAAATTCTTATTGAAAGAAAAAACAAAACAAAATAAAACAGGTATATCTAATTTACAACTTGAAACCATGATTTTTGTGTTTGATATCATATTGAAGAAATATATTACACCAGATTGGTTATTGTTATCATTGCCTGTATTTTTTGTCTATGTGCCATGGCCTTTCATGTCTATGTGTGATCATGGCCCCTTCTAACCTTTTATCCTTTGTAGCTGTTATCATTGTTTCTCTCTTTGCCATAACATTCTACCATCCATTCACATATGTTTGTCAGATAGGCAGTCCAATGCCTTCTCTTGGCTTGTGAGTGTCAATTCTCCATGCCCTCCTTCCTCAATTCCATCTGTCTATTTCTGATTCTGAGAATAAGTTTTCTTGATTCCATTTTCCTTAAGACTTTTTTGTTGCTTATGTGCTCCATTCATAATATTCTCAGCATCCTTTTGTTGAACCACATTTTTATAATCTATGAACTGTCTTGAATTACTATCCAATTCATTTTCTTTTGGGTCTTTTGCTCTGACAGAGATTTCACTTCATATATCTTATCAGCTGCTCCAGGAAAAATAAATCCCTCATATCTTGTCAGCTGTTCATGGCTGGTTGAAAAAAAAAAAAAAAACAAACATGCTTCTCATTGTCAGCATAACTGTATATGTCCCAACAGATTAAAAGTATTTGTTGTTAATACATGGTTTGAGTCATACTAATGGTTGTATTTTTCCAATGTGTTTGAATAACCGTAATTGTTTCTGTGAAATTGAGAAAAATTTTAGCATAATTACAACTGTTTATAATTGGATACATACAAGTTTGTTGGTTACTTGAAGATTAAATCATACCAAGAGATGCATAGAGGAAGACAGGTGTTATAGTTCAAGTAAGCAGAAGGTTGGATGTGTTGGTACCATAATGATTAACTAGGTTCAAGTTCCAGCCTAATCTATTGCATTCAGTTCATACTAATACCATTGAAAAAGGCATGAACCCATCTCTTTTTTTTCCTGCCCAGATATGGTTTAAATAGCAGGACTGTCTAACCTTGGATGATAACCAGTCTAGGAGATGGATAACTGTGGACTCAAAACCATGTAACTGGTAATGAGATAAAAGTATATTATCTTTCCTAATAATTCATGGATAGTCACAGATAAAGAAAATGAATCTGTGGAGAGCCACAATTTCCTGTGTCCTGAAGAAACATGGAATTAAAAAAAAAAAAGAAAAGAAAATTAGATACAGATACATTTACAGAATTTAAGTGGTGTCCAGAACAGGCCAAGAATGCTTTGTTTCAACCTTACGTATGTAGTAATATACATAAAAGTAAACGTTGCATATATAACAAGGTTTTTCATAATGTCAAACTAAACTTCCTGTAAGTCAATTTGGTAACATTCATAATCTTATAATAATATCTTCTGTTCCCCAAAATAATAATAATAATAATATCTTATAAGATTATAAATTTTATATTATAACAGGATATTACATTTTTGTACACAAAAGTCATTTTGAAAATGAACAAAAAACACAGTAAAATATATACTGTATATACTTGAGTATAGTATGAGTGATCAGTTTTTTAACACAAAAAAATAATGGGTTGCACTATACACAGATAGTTTTTTGAAAGAGGTTAAAAATCATGCATTTTCAGTGACTAGTTGCACAATATGCAGATAAAATTAGTAGTAAAATAAATAATAGACCATTCAGTCAAAGTTCAAAAAGTAAAAAATCGTTTCTGTCTGAAGTTATTATTTACAATTGAACTAATGTCCTCCTCTTTGCTGTTATTATCACATTTTGATCATTGTTCTGTCCTGTCTTCTTCAGGTGTCTGTTAATTCAGATAACATTCAGGGAATTTTTTAACTGAACACTTTATTTAATCTCCAACAAAAAAGAACACGACAAGACCAGTAGATTAAATAAAGGGTTCAATTCAAATTTCCCCGAAGGTTACCCAGATTATCAAGCAATTGAAGAAGGTCAAAGTGCATAACAACAAGGATGAGGACATTAGTCTGCTGTAAAAAATCTAAAATTTTCTAAACAAAGATTAAGTGAAATGACTAGATAATAGTTAATAACAGTTTACATTAATTAAAAATTATTGAATGAGCTTATGATATTGATAAAGAAGAATAATAGTTTATATTGATGAGAACCAGATGTAATTATTCTATATGTGCTCTGAAATTTGTTTACCTGAGCTCTTCTTTTCTGCGCCGAACCAGTTCTTCTTCAAGCTGTGGTATATGGGAACCTTTACTCCGAAACTTTTGTAGTTGCTCTGCAATTTCTTCTCTCCAAAATATCTGAGGTGTATAACAAATGAATAAGTAAATAAGTGAAATAAATAACAAATCAGTAAACAAACACAAAAGTTGAAATCCTGTGAAATCAAGTAAATTCTTGTATTCCATAGTAAAGTAAGATTTAGTAAAATTTTTAAATTTAAAAAAAAAATGAATCAGCCAAAATGGTTATTTAATGATTCTGCCACATTGCCAGACTTTAAATACAAACATATACATCCAACTTTTAATGCCCATTTTTCAAATTCTCTTCAATTCAAAGAACTACCATTAAAATAATTACCTTCAAATAAGCCAAAATTCATGCATATCTGTAATATTATTTGAATAGCCAAGATCAAGCATTATTAATTCTTGTTAATTTTTCACTTTTATTTCTTTCATCTTGATTTCATTTGTTTTTCCAGAGCATGATTACATGATCATTAGAAAGTTTTGTAGACTGGAAAATAAGCCTTCTTTAGTAATGATTATGGAGTCATGAACTGGGAATTGTGATAAAAAGCAAAGGAAATTAAGATGAAAGATGTAAATTAAAAATTCACACTTTACTTTTCTGATTTAAGCAATATCTTTGTTTTTAAAGCTTTTCAAGATTTTGTTTTTCAGATGTTATTTAAATAGAAGCAGCTATACTTGTCTGATTCTGGAAATTGCATAGAAAAAGAAGTATACATCACTCACTTGAGTAATTGAAATATTACAGGTGCAGATTGTACTGAATAAAAGTAGCTTCAAAACCAAGTAATCAGTATTTGATTGTTACACAGTAAAATGTAGCTGATTTTCTTAATATTTCAATGTTTATCATCATTTTGTCCAGAAGGTTGTAATTACTTTCAAGAATGGTTTTGATGGTTCTTTCAGTCATTTTATTTTTATTTTAAAAAAAAAAAAAAAAGAGGATCAGATGGGCAAAGTTTCCAGGTTGTAACATTAAATTAACTAGTAAATGTTTAATCAGATTTAAGATTGTGTGTATGCTTGTCCTGAGAGATACCGTGAATAGGGATCACTTGCAATAGAATCTCTACTGGATCATGGTAAATATCCATATTCATGTATATATGTATAAGGAGGTGCTGAAAAGTTCTTGGCTCAGCTTAAAATCTAACCAAATGTCCAAACATCAAAATTTATTTTGTTATTCCTTCTTGGTTTGGCTAAGGACTTTTCAGTATCATCTTTTCTATGTTATACTAATTGGTAACATCTTACACATGATGTGCCAATTGGTATCGAGTTTTAGAGTTACCATATCTGATGACATATAATAGACAATATTTTTTTCCACTCACAAAATGGTTAAAAACAATATATCAACTGAATCTTAATGTAAATTTGAGGTACCTGGTAGTCTGATGTTTACCCAGATACCATAGACTGTCAGTAGTTGTACTTAGCTTAATTTAATAATACACATATATAAAATGCAATAAATATATGTAACATATCCACTAGAGATAGGCAATAAATAATTGTAACTGAATTACTCACTTTATATGTATATATATCGTATACATGCACTATATCAGAATCTATTATACAAGTCAATGTTTTCACATGTTTCATAGATGAAACAGCAAAAACTTCCTGTTTGTCATGTAATGGGATGTTTTGCAAGATTTTGCAAAACTTACAAATCCAGAAATTCAAATTGTAAAAACTGACAATAACTAATGATATTCATTTTAATAGCAGATAAATTTTTAAAGAGTGTATTTCAGGACAGATTTCGTAAAAACGATTTTTAGCCAGTCATACTTAGTCTGAGTTACTGGTATTTAATAAGACATTTTGCTGTTTTATATGAGTACTAGTTTACCAATGCAATTAAAATTCTAATACTTAAGCATTTGATATTTTACAAGTACAATACAGTTGAAACATTACGATTCTATATCTACAAACTAAAAATAATTTAAAACAAATTAATTATGGGATTTTATTTGTCTATCTCTATGCATTATGTACAAATTCCCTTGGAAAAGGCATGAATCCATCTCTTCTCCCCTCAGCTATGGGTAAATAGTCTTGGGTAGCAACTAGTCTAGGAGAAGGAAAACTGAATTCAAAACCTGAGAGTTGATTGAGGTACAGACAGAGAGCAAACCACACCATATTCTGTGGTCTTCGTCTGCTGATCAAGAGCATGGAGAGGAGATTGGTGCCACAAAGCTATCGGAAAGTCCATTGAAAGGATCATAAGGAAGAAGAATCAAAGCTACACCATGCTGTTTCTTATACCCTAAGGTCTCTCCCCAACTGATGATTACAATGTATAAGGTTGAGATGAGAAATAGGCATTCACCTGAGCTTCTTTGAAATCTTCTCTATTAAAATTCAAAAGTTCTGGAGATGCAATTTCAAGATGCATTAATATTTGCCGGAAAGACATTCGATTACGAGCTTTGGCTCTCCTACAAAAGAAAAAAGAAAAGAAAATGGTTTGAGAAAAAACAACAAAAAAAAATTATCTGCAATAAAGTATTAGAGATTTTGGACAACCATTCCAACAATTATTGTTTTTTAAGGCAAATGTAGGCTACACACAAGAAAATGTCAACAATTGACCTCAATATATCAATGTTTGCAAAATTGAAAGCATTATTTAAATCCATCAATTTAATCTGGTTTTCTAACAATTACATATATTTTCAATTTAGATTCTTTTAGCACTTTCTTAAATATCCAACATTTTTTATGAGCACTTTGCTGGGTATTAGCTCTTAATTGTAAAGAGTAATCCCTATTTAGCAAATTGCTATTATATGAATTGACATCAGAAAATAGTACTACCTTTGTCTTATAATAATTGTTACTTTTTTGCCTTCAGTCAGCATGGCTGATGCTAACCTCCAGAAGAGTGACTTATTGTGCCTTCTTGGACTAACATTTTCCATTGACATGAAGATTATAGTGAATCAATTCTTAGGTCTGTTGCTAAGAAAGTTGGTTCACTGTGTCATACTAGACCAGAATTAATCTTAAACATTTATAGTTCTACCATTCATCCATGCATTGAATATTGCTGCCACATACCATCTGGTACTCCTGCTATATATTTAGAGATTCATGATAAAATCTAAAGAAGAATCTGCAATGTTATTGGCCCTGACCTTGCATATCAGCTTCAGTCATTTTCTTATCACTGGCAAGATGTAACTGGCAAGATGTAACTGTAAATTCTATGCTAACAATTTATTTTCTCACACCGCTCATTTGTTGAACTCTCTTTCAGCCTCTTGCATTCCTGTCAACTTTGATGTTCAAAAATTTAAACGCAATGTCAATCGTTATCTTCTTTCTTTTTTAATTCCTGTTCTTTTATTGTTTCCTCTCCTTAATGTTTTTCTTTTTCTTATATTCCTTCATACCATTTGTATCATAGTGGCTTGATTGCCTTGCTTGTGAGGAAATGATTAAAAAGAAAAAAAAAGAGACATTTTCAAGCAAAGTTTATACACTAAATATAACAATTATTATGGGATAGAGGCAATATTTGTTTTTCAGTATAAGTTATAAATCTAAGTTCATGCTCTTTGTATACAGTGTATAGTTGTTCTTATGTGAATGCAGATATGAATGAAAGTATATCAAACATATGAGGGTGTGTTGAGAAGTTCATGGTTCCAACAAGAAAGAATTTCAAAGAAATTCTCATGCCTGGCTATTTAGCCAGATTTGGAGAATTTAACCAAGAAGATTTCAACATGACTTTGTTCAATATATTTTACAATTTTGTGTGAATTTGCTTGAAATCGATTAATAAATTGAAAAGAAAAATACAGCAGATATGCTATTCAAAATATTTCTATCATAAAAGAAACAAAACAATTAAGACTGGAAAAACACACACAATCTAAAATGTGATATTTAGGTTTCCTATTTGTTCCTTATCCTATCATTATGTTAGATTCCAATCTATATTTGATCCTAATTCATATATATAAATATATATATATATATATATATATATACATATGTGTGTGTGTGTAAGTGGACAGCAATCTTAACACTTGAAGAATGTATTTAAGCATGAAACAGACTGTTGCCGTTGAGTTTTGACCTCAATGTCCACTTTTATATTTATATATGAGCTATCTCTGATATTGAGCACTTTAACCCATAAATATACCATAACTTAAAACTATATATATATATATATATGTATGTATAACTAAATAAACAGTCTGTAACCTTCTTTCTTTTTATGTGCCATGTCATTTCAGGATGTAGGCAATCATGGCTCTCCACCTCACTCTATTCCTTGCATCTCTCAACAAGTTCGTTACCTCTGCTTCCTCCCCCAGACCACATTCTGTCATCCACTTTCTTAAGCCTGCCAGGTAAATCATGCATTGTTTTCCCTTGTTTCTTTTTCCCTCTATTCAACCTGTCACTATCAGATTCTCCAGGCCCTCCTTCCTCATTATGTGTCCCAGAAACTTCTGCTGCCTCTTCCTGATATTAAGTATGAGCCTCCTCCTTGTTTGCAACCTCTCCAAGACCTCATCATTGCTAACACGCTTGGTATCGTCAGCATCCTTCTGTAGACCCCTGTAACCTAATGATATATAGCACTTGCTTTATACAAAAATATTTTTAATCATAATCTTCTTTTTTAATGTACTTATACCAACATTTCAGTATTATTTACAGATAAAATATTGTACATTGAAAATTTCAGAGCAAAATTCTGATAAGTTTATCAGGATGCAGACTTAACAATCTATTATCATATCTATATGAAAAATGAAATGAAATCACCATCCTAAGTTCAAATTCCAACTAAAGCAGTTTATTTTCATTTTGCACTAATGTTCTTCAGAAAGACATGAATCCATTTTTCCCTGCACTCAATTTTGACAGAGTCTACTCATTTTAAGTGTGTGTCCTCACTACCATGTCTCTTTGGTAGATACAAGTATTTTATAATTGTTTAAATAAAAATGTGTAGTTAGATTAATGGTTAATAGCATGGAAATGGAACTGAGCAGCAGAGTTCAGATTTCAGCCAAGACAACTTTGTATTTACTTTGCATTTTAAAAATCCATGAATGTACCTAACTATATCTTAGCTATGGATTAAACAGCAAAGCAAACTGGACTCTCTAGAATTGGTTAGTAGCCAGTTTAGGATAATACTGAATTCAAAACCATGCAGAAGGCAACAAGAAACTACTCCACTATATTTCCTAATAACAATCATATCAACACACAGTTTACAAATATTAAAGAAAAGGACTGTGTTGAGAGCCATGATTGCTAACATCCTGAAAGTGAATAGAACTTAAAGAGAAATTAATATATATGATATTAATAGAAATATGCTTTATGATAAATTAAATTGTATGTAGAGTCAAATGAATTAATAGATTATTAACCTTACTTTTCAGAATAAAAATCAGTTTCTGTAGGGGACAATTTAAAAAAAAAATGATTTTCTAAATAAAAGATTATGAAAGAAAATATACTGATGTCATTAATAATAAACTGCAAAAAATATGACCAACTCTATTGTTTAATTTATACTCATTTTGATAATTCCAGGTGAATAACTTACCAACATTGTTTTAATAACTGCTGGAATCCCTCTGGACATGTCGATGGCACTGGTAAGTGAAGGCTATTGCTGCCAACTCCCCAAATAATTGCAGAAGAATCAACATCCCTGTAAGGGATTTCTCCTGTCAGTAACTCCCATAAAACAACACCAAATGACCTGAAAATAAAATATTTATACAAATTAGAAATACTGACTGGGATCACATTTATGTAAATATAGATAAACAACTTTTAATTTATAACTTAAATTAATTTTTTTTTTTATATATATATATATATATAGACACATGGCACAGTGGATAAAGGCGTTGGTTAGATCCAGTGACAGACCCAAAGAAGGTGAGTTCAATCCCTGGTTAAGGCAGTGGAGAACTTTCAGAGGAAAAATTAGCAGGAGATAACTGACATCCATCAAACATGGCATGTGGAACTAGAACAGTCTACGATCGAAATAAAGGGTTCAGTTCGAAATTCCAACCACCTGAAGAAGGCCGAAATGTTGTGACAAAGATGAGGACAATAGTCCGACTAATGTAAATACTATATATATATATTAATAGTCAAACTATTTCTGATACAAACTTTTATCTTAATGTGGCTTTGTATTACAAAGCTGGACTCTATCTAAAATGTCAGCTTTTGAAAAGATATAAAAAGCGTTTTGGAATATTGAGTTAAAGTTTCACATTATCTCTGTTGGAATCTCTCTCAAAGATTAAAAACATCAACCAATAACCATTCTCTTATGTTGAATTTGCATCGCTCAGACAATTCCACATTTCAGAAATTTAGACAAAAAGTCATCATTGTTATACACTGATTTATTCAGTATGTTATCCTCATCTTAGTTGTTGTAGTCACAAAGTTTCCATTGTTGTACCCACTGGCCTTTTTGTCATATTTAGAAATGCTTTTTTGAATTTAAAACCAAATCATTTATTTAATATTCTTATTCAGCCATCCACATTGTATTTTTTATTACTTAATTCTTCTTAATATTTTGTCCTTCTACTTTGCTATTGCCTGACCCAAGAATTAGACTTGTATTAAGCAGTGAAATCCAGATATCCTTGTTCAGTAAAACAAGCAGTAGTAACATCACAAAGGATTAATAACTGATATCTCCTAACATGTACAAAAGAATAGGAATATTGAATAAAGGACTCAGTACAATGGCTGAAATGTTGGGAATATAACAAAAAAGATATGGACAACTGTCCAAATAAATCAGGGCATAATAATAATTTCATAGCTCAGAAATTCAGACAGAAATTATTAGAAATCAATCAATAACATTTGCTTTTTTTGTCTTTGTTTTCATATTAAATAGAATGCTATTAGACTATTAAAAAAAACAATAGAAAATGTCTTCCATTTTCGGACAAGGAAACTTTGTGGAAACTGGTTTCTGAATAAATGAAAATATGGCAAAGAAAATGTGAATTCACTGCAGAAGATATTTCTTACTTATAAAATCTTTTAAAAAAATCTAAAAATACACCCAATATTTCGTTTCATTAAAAATATCAAATATGGCAGATTAAACAATTTTAAATAAACAGTCTTGTCTACTTTTGTTGAAAATTTTCCTATTTATTTTTGTTTTTCCACTGAGACACATTCTCTCATCTTAAAGCTTCACTTTAACCCTCAAATATTTAATTCTTTAAAAATAATTGTAAAGAAATGTACTTTTATTATAAAAATGTTGTAGCTTAACACAATAATTAGGTTAATTTGTAGAAAGTTATTTAAACACAACAAAAGATAATTTGGTAAAACATCATTTAACAGTTTCTACATCAGGTGATTTCTTTTATATAAAGTCATCACATGAAATATGAAAAAAAAAATCAACAATCAGTATGAGGAATTGGAATGCATGGATAAATTTTGCCAGATAATCTTTTGTAGCTTTGAAAATTGGCCTTACATTATTTACCATTGTTAGTTTAACTGGGCATTAGAATAAAATGAAATGAACTCTTAGAAGAGTGATATTAGTGGTACACGTTATATTAAACTGATAAAAGAAAAAGTTACTTATGAAACAAAGACTTCTTCTTCATTACAGTCAGATAAATACTTGAAAATTTGTGATACTTATAGAATATAATTGCTTTGTATTCTCTCTCACATCATATATATAGTGAGAGAGAGAGAGACATGTGATGAACACACCTATTGCCTTTTTATGTATAAGGGTTTAACAACATGATCCACCTTTGATACTACTTGTGTTTGTCTTCACTGACTTTTAAGGTCCACTTGAGAGCCACACAACATTCCAAATACAACACAAGGAACAACATCACTTGTGAAAGATGCAGGAATATCAGAAGTGTATTTACTGTTCTGATCTGAAATATGTTGATCTTGAATGCATAACTTCACAAAAATTGTAATGTCTTTCATGCATACACTACTCAGTTAGATACGATCAGAAAGAGATGTCAAATGACAGTGGAGAATTCAGATTTTGCTTAAGTTTATCCTTGTACCACAACAGAGGTTTTCTCATTTTCCAAGAACTGTCCTACAGTTGGCTGTAAATAACAATTTTCAGTATCCTTTTCATCACTCATGCACACAACATGACCATTCTAGCAAAGTTGCAGTTGCATTAGAAATGTCTCTATGCCTCCAATTTTGCACCTTGAAAACAGATTAATATTAAATACGTTGTCTTCCACATTATAGCCACAAATTCTAAGAAGGCACTGCTTAGTGAAGACAGCAAGTTGAAATATATGATCCTGGTATATATAATATAGATGTTTTCTATTTTCTTAAAAGATTGCAAATCCTATGCTGAATGTAAGAGAGCAGGAGTAAATTAAAAAAATCAGTAGATGTTGTAAACGTATATTATTGAGTTAGCTAAGTTGAAACAGATTAAGTTTCCAGAAATCAACTTCAAGGGGTACAGGTACAGCTGAGAAAAAGACCTGTGGATGAAAATACATGTGAAACCACAGATATAACCTATACCCTACTCCTGATGGAACAACAAGGCAAAAATGATTGAAAAAAATGATTATTATTATTTTATGTGTCGATCAAGAGAGACCCCTTAAAACATAAAACATATCAGTGAGCACTAAAATGCATGTTGAATTACAAGCTTGATAGTAGATCTGTCACTCCCTGTATCTCCTCTGGTTCTCTGTCTTATCTTGTAACAAAATAGTAAAGTTTTTTTAAAGAAAACAATTTTAAATATAGCTGTGTTTTGGAGGAAAACAATTTTAAATATAGCTGTATCTTGCAGAGAAACAATTTAAATATTGTTGTATCTTTCCAGCCAAACATCAATGAAATGTGTTTGATATTGTATAGGCTTTGACATTTGGATTAGAAAATGCTTCAGCACTTTGTCATCTAACCCTTAGCTTTGATTTTGTTTAGATTTTTTGAGAGAAAGTGTTTGTATAACTAGAGAGCCAATAATGTCCTGTAACTTTCTGCATTCTCTATCATAATGTCTCAAAGTGCCAGTATCTTATTAGAAATGTCACATGATCCAATTAAGTTCAAGCTGTGCTCACTATAGCAAAGACTCAGGATGCTGCTTTTACTTAGTAATGATCAGATTTTAAAACAAGGAAGCTACAGTGATGCATGTAAATGAATTTGAATTAATTTGGGGAACAACTGCGTGTTTTCATTAAAATATTGGAGAAAAGAAAAAACAATACTGAAAATTAAAGTTCAACTTACCAGATATCTACTTTCTCAGAACAAGGCTCATTTCTGATAACCTCTGGTGCCATCCAGGCCACAGTGCCAGCGAATGACATTTTGGTGCTTTTTTCATTCCATTCTCGACTAGTTCCAAAATCAGAAATTTTAACGATGTCATTCTTCGCAACAAGAACACTGAAATAGAATTTTTAAAAAGTCAGTAAATTGGTACTGAATATTTAGTCATGTTTATCTGTACTTAAAAATGGTTAATTTGAAATATGTTTTAGTGTGTAACAAAAATAATTTCAAGGAAGAATCAAAAAGCCTATAATGTGATACAGTTTTAGCTGAATTTTGAATCAAAATTTACACCATGTTCAATTTATGCGACCGATGGAAAACAATTGGATTAAATGTATTGACAAAGAAATTGGTTATGTTAATATTAAATATTTGTTATATTTGCCATTGGTATGTAATAAAGCAATTGATGTACATACAGTGTAACCCGGATATAAGAGAGTTGTCGGGACCGGAGAAGAAGTCCGGGTTTCTCTTATATCCGGGTTTGGTCTATTTTATATACATTAACACAGACTCTAATTTGGGACCAGAGAAAATCTCTCTTATATCCGGGTTTCTTATATCCGGGTTACACTGTATATCTTTTTTTTAATTGATTGATTAGTTTTCTACATTCTATCAACCCTTTGCAGGTTAATTAAAGCCAAAACATATTTTTAGATTGTAAAAAATGTTTTTTTTGTTTTTTTTAGATAATAATGGTTTGGGGATACAAGTCTTACTAATTAACCAATAGTTGGAGGACAGAAGAGTTGCATTCATACCTTTCCCAAGGGCATTTGCATTTAAGTGAATATAATGAACCCAATGGGAATTGGAATTCAGCTCTCCAATTAACAATTCCAATTCATTATTTATTACATCTGTACATCTAAGCATACAGCACCTGGTATTCTCAAACAATTAACCATCTAAGTACTGACCAAGCTCAATGTTGCTTAATTACATTGATCATATGGGGAAATGGTGTTTTAATGTGAAGTGGCTGTAATCTAACATACATGTAACTTTGGTCATATAAACATTCTTGTATAACCTTTGTATATATATATATATATATATATATGCACATTTTTAAAGTTATAAATAGATATTCTCATTTGTGCATCAGTAAATATTTTATGGTAAGTAATCTAGCAAACAGTTGAAATTTTTCTAAGATGAACAAAGCTAGAAATTTAATTTAATATTTAAGAGGGAAAGAGTAAAAAATGCCTTTTGCCTTATTTGCTGTTTTTTCCTCTGTTTTTCCTCTTTTTTTCTTCTTTCTTCCTATCTTTTTTAATTTTCAATTAAAAACAAAAACAAAAAACATTACGATTCATTTTTTTATCAAACATTTTAGTATTGACAAGCTCCAGGAAATTTCTCTAAGAGAGAAATCTCATGAGGAGTGAAATGGCCATGTAAATGGGATACAATTGAGTTTCATTTTTATGTAATTATATATATGTGTGTGTGTGTGTGTGTGTGTTTGTGGTTCTTGTCATCTGACAATCACTTTGTATGAAACTTCAAGTAATGATTTTGATTGATCTAATATTTTTGTGCTATTTCATTGGTTAGTATATATGTCAACAACAGGCAATGTAAGCTAGTTACATTATTTGGACTATTGTCCTCATCTTTGTCACCATATTTATTACAGGTTTTGGCTGTTGTATGCTCCAGCCTTCTTCAGGTGGTTGGAATGCCGAACTGAACCCTTTATTTCACTCACTGGGGTAACTGCTCTAGTTCCACATGCCATGTCTAATGGATGTCAGTTATCAGTTATCTCCTGCTTAAGAAGGCCGGAGCGTACAATGGATGAAACGTTGTAATAAATATGGCGACAAAGATGAAGACAATAGTCCGAATAATGTAAATAGTGTACATAATACCTCATCTCAGAAATATAGATAGATACTGAAGGCAATGTAAGATGTATAAGTATGTCCACAGTAGTGAATGTGTTAATTAATCAGGTGTCAGAAATTTATCTTTTGAATCCAACTGAATATTGCCAAGAGTTTTACAGGTGCTAAGCATCTTGCATGTTAGTATGTGTAAGTAATACTTTAGGTTTGTATAAAATGACAAAACTTTTTGATGTGTCATTCAAGCAGGGCTATCACCAGAGTGTTTTGAGTGGTGGTGGTGGTGGTGGTTGCCTTTAAGTTAGGAGTCCACAAGTTAAAAGGTATTTATCTTCATATTCACTTGAATGGAATGTGGCACAGAGTTCAATTGAACCACAGTCCCAAAATAGCCCACTATCATTCCCATTAAGTCATACATAAAAAAGGAATGATTTATTTTTTATAATTTACATTAAAATATCAAGCATTAGTAATGACTTTAATGAATTATTTATGTTGTAGGCATTAGCACACTAAAATTAGTTCACATTGTTTTCACATTAAAATTCATTCCCATGATGTTCGCAGTACAGAAAGAGCAAATGATTTTCTGGGGATGGGAGTCCTAGCTCCCACTTCCAGTGACAGGCTTGTATCTAGGTGGCTTTCTTTATAGCATTGCAATTAAAAATAATAACTGATTGTTGTGTTTTAAATTATATTTTGGTTTTATAAACCTTTATTTTGTTTAAGCAAATTTAGAAGTGATAGCAAAAAGCAAATATTGCAAAGAGCTACAAAGGACAGAAAGTTGTGAAGAACCATAATTGTTTATGTCTTGAAGGCACACGACATATAGAAGAAGAATTTAAAAGTAATAACAGTTATTGTCTCTTTGATTAAATACATGGGTATGCTTCTTGAATGTTGGTACTTACTTTGGTGATTTGAGATCCCTATGAATTATTTTGTGAGAATGTAGGTAGTTCATACCACTGGCAATTTGTTTTGACCAATCTAGAATGAGTGCAGGAGGAATTTCTTTGCCATCACGAAGAATTTCATACAACTGCCCATAAGGACAATATTCCATGATAATGCAAAAACATGGTGCCTGAGTGCATACTCCTCTGAAAAAAGAAATAAGATAAATTATTGAAGTAAGTAAGAGACTGCTGGTTTACAAGATATGAAAGGATAATATTTGTAAAAGTTTTAGTTAAATTTTATTTTCATCTTCAATAAACTTTATGAAAAACATAAAAACAACAGTCTGTTTTTTTAAATCTTTAAAAAAAGAAAAGCGAAAATGATAGGAACAAATTAAGATATAAAATTTATTTTTTCATATTAACGCAGAGAGGGCTGTTTATTTAAATATACTATATATAAAATTTTTGCCAAAGAATTGTCATTTTTTTATAAATACTTTTGTAAAAATTTTCTTGAATCGATAAAAAAAGATAGTTATTGAAGTGAATAAATCTCGTATGTTTTTAATACCTATTTTCACTCAATACAAAGCTCAAAAGCCACTTAAGGTAGAAGGTTACTGTATGGTGTTGTATGAGTCTAAGAAAAATCAAGAAGTGACATTCAGTTAACCCTTGACCTGTAGAGGTCAAGATTGCAGTGATTGTGAAAAAACATCCTGCTGAGAGTCTGCTCCATAAAGCACCAGTTCTTGGGAAGAAGCTGCCCTAAGGGAACTTCTTTCTTACTAATAGAATACAAAAGGAATGGAGATGATTCATACTTGTGTACGTGGCATAGCAGGTCCCGGTTATAAAGGTCAGGTGGGGTGCGACTAAAGAATATAGCTTGTCAGAATACATCATAAAAATAGCAAGAGAACACAGAGAAGCTCATGATGTTTCATCTGTAGGAAGGGGTTGTAGGACAAAAAAATAGCCCATATATATATATATATATATATATATATATATATATATATATATATATATATATATACACACACACACACACAAATTAAACTTTATAAATTAACAATAAGAATGGCATACTGCGATTATATTTAGTTCCTGCTGACACAAAAGTCATTTATTGTACTTAGTCTGATATGAAGCCACACTAGTAGCATTAAACTCACTACACTTGTAAATAGATATCAAGAGCAAATGACTAACAAACTCACTATGGTGGTTGCTAGTTCTACTAAAACAATAAATAATAAACATAATAGACTGAAAAAAATATTAAGAAAAATGTAAAGTACAACTTACTTGAATGAGATTATATTAGGATGATTTAATTTGCGAAGATTTTTTATATCAGTTTCTTTTACATCTCTAACTTTTTTGACCGCTACTTCCTCCGAATTAAGCTTGCCCAGAAAAACAGCTCCTTGTGCCCCACTGCCTAACCACTGAAGGTCTGTAATATTCTCAAAAGGAGTTTCCCAGTCATCTGCAAAAGAAGATTTTGAAATACACTGTCAGTAGAATAAAGAAATAAGCAATTGTCATGGCGTGGTTAGCCATGGTCAAATGCAAAATAAGTAACAGAAAAGCCCAAAAAACAGAATTGACAAAGTTTGTAATAAGCAATAATAAGAAAAAGAATGCGGCAAAAAATAATATAAAGCAAGCAAACAATATATGCAAGGCAAAGCAACAGTAAGAAAGCAAAAAGTTCACAAACTAAGAATTGGCATCAGCACAAAGAACCAAGTTCGGACAAGCAAACGTAATATTCCGACTTCAAGACCAGACAGACCATGACTGCATCAGGTCATACTGAGAACTGGCCTATTTTATTGGCTAAGAAAAAAAAATCCCAGCATGCATTTGTTTATTTCTGCCTATGAAAGGGGAGGGGAAAGTGTTTTGCAGTCATTCCTAGAGTTATTATTCTCAGATTTACTATATCTGATGACATAAAAATCTCAATTTATTTACATTTAATATTAAGTATTTATAGAGGTATGCTTAGGCAAACCATAACCTACCAGATTCATTAACTTTGTATTTAAGATCTGGGAGATATTTTTTGAGCTTTATTCTGGGGAAACTAAAAAAGGATTTGTAATTCATCAAATATATTATTTCTCCAATATTTTAATTATACTTTTAAGCATATAGTTAAAAAAAAGAGACTACAGGAAATATATTCCAAAACCCACAGCAGATACTTGAAGCTACGGATAGTATTGGAAATTATGTTTTTCTTCTTATATTTACCTATGATAAAGCTTAATTTATAAATTAGGCACAATAATTGATTAACAACAATAAATAAAAATAAAATAGAACAATTATAGTGATATACTCTAATAAAATTTATGTGATAGAAGATTTACTTTTAATCATTTGTTCTTACCAACTTTAATATACAATGTTTTTAATTTACTTATTAAGTACAAAAAATGTTTCACCTTTTTTGCTTAAACACTGAAATTTCTCTGACATATTACCAGCATCACTAATTTTATACTTTACGACCATTATTAAGTAAAATATATTTGTATATTTCTGGAATTTACTGCAAGTATTTGAATCTGCAGAAAGCAAAACTGAAGATAAAGGAGGAAAAGGAAATTGAATCTAGAATAGACTGCACTCGGAAGAGTCTTGTGCAATGGTGCAAATTGTTACAAAACCAAAAACATTAAGCTAAAAACTCAAGTCAAATTTTCAAATAGCCTTGTCAGATTGAAACTCTCATAGGGATGTCATGCATGGCATCAAGCTCATTCAGAAATATCTAATCTGTTAGCTGTTTACAACCACTTTCTCAGATCAATGGTTAAAATGACTTTGAGCAAGTGAAACCTGTAGGCTTCACTGAGGACAATCCCCCTTTGGAATTTGTGGCCTGGCACTGCAGAATTCCAAACAGATGCACATTGAGAAGGCTCCTATAACAGATGCACATTGAGAAGGATCCAATAATGGCTGCACATTGAGAATTAAGTTAAAAACAAGGTTAAATAAAAAAGAAAGAAATGTTATCAAACCTTGCTGTTTTAGTTCAGCAGCAGCTGCCTTCCCAATAATTGTCCACACGGGGCGCAGACACCCCAGCAAGCCCTCAAAAAAGCTGCGCTGGCTGCCATCTCTGTAACCTACATCTACACCATTGGTGGTGTCATGAGTGGGCGTAACTGGTGCCGACTTTGGTGACGCTGTAGGTGTACTGCTGGAGGAGGACTTGTCGGTAAGGCTGAGGTGCTCCAGCTGTAACATACTGAAATGAAAACAGACATTGAGAAACCAAATTAAGGAACAGGAAACATTGTGAGAAATAAGACAAGTGTTAGTAGCAAGATTTTATGCACATCAACAACAAAAATACAAAAATATATATTGATTTTCTTTTAAGGTGTTTATACATGAAGAAAATCAATGGAATGATTATGTATTAAATACAAATGACACTTTTTCTGATTTTTTAAATGAAAATACTTGAACTATATCAAGAAAGAAAATCACTGTTTTTTGGTAGAAATGTCTACTTGTTCATCAAAGTACAGTTGTTATGAAAACCAACTGTTTATATAATATAATTTGAGCTTTGTTCATGGACTATTGCTACAGAATCATAAAGGACTGTACCAAATAACAGAAACTACATCACTTGAGGACCTTCAAAAGTAGAAACAAATAAAATGAATAGCATGTAAATCAAAGAGAAAATAATGACATAATCAAGATGTTCACTTTCCATACTACTTCAAACAAAACATTAGGAAGGAAACCCCTCCCCCATCAATACTGGAAAGAGCAATAACAACTAGTGGACTTTTTCCTGAAAAATTGTTTGTAAAAATGAAATTGAAACTACAACTGAGAAACATAGCAATGAGGAATGAAAAAAATTTTAAAAATATTATAGAATTTTGAATGAAGACAGAATTAGTAAAAGAGTTCACCCTGATACAAAGCCAGGAATTCTTCATTGTTCTTTAAGCACCTGAGAATACACTGCTAACTGCAAATATTAGTGTTGAACTTCTGCTTTTTGGTTAGTGCTATTACCTTTGTGATGACCTTCCAGAAATAGTTCTATCATTAGTAATTCTAAAGTTATGTTACCTATGATATCACAGGAAGGATTAACATACAAGTTTACAAGTTCAATGACCAGGTGTCTAATCACCAATATATATATATATATATATATATATATATATATATATATGTAAATACATTCATTGTTATTGATCAAATCAGTAAAAAAAAATTAAAATAAGTTTTATTGACATGAAAGGTATTATATATACTGTAAATAATTTTATAGAAATACTGAAAATACTTTTACTATAGAAATTAGAAATGTATTCCATTGTAAAAATACATTGAAATGAGTTTAAGAAAAAGGATTAAGTGATCAGTAATTAATGTAAGCACTACTGACCAAATATGTTTATACATATAATATAAATGATTTGCTAACAATTTTACTAGAGAATTACATTGAAAAAATAGATTGTCATGATTTAACACACGTATTACTGACAGAATAGTATAAAATATTTTATGTATAATGTAAGTATATTGTTAATGATTTTTTACAATAGAAAAGCATTGCAAATTATTTTACTAGAGAATGTATTAAGCCAAAAATATGGGATTGTCAGTGGTCAGGAATTAAGCAAACATTGTTGAGAGATAGAACAAATTCAAAACTTTTTTACTTCTCACCAAAAATTAAAAATCAGTGATGGAATAAAAAGAAAAGGTAATAATAATATTGGTTACTATATTCTACAACAGTAAATATTTAAAAGTATTATGTCATTAGAGTAAAAACATAAAAAATTGAACATTTTGAATTCATTCTTAACACAAACAGAAGGGTAGAATAATAATAATAATAATAATAATAATAATAATAATAAACATATTCCTTAAAGCAGGAAATAATTCCTTGTGAATAAACATATATATAGATTAATAAAAAATAAAGGTTAAAGTTCACATTGGCAGATAACATTGTGTCTGTAAAGGTGAAATACAAATTTGCCAGATTTGGGGCCCACAGGGAATGTTTATGGTGCAGTGATTTCACTTCTGTTTCATACATCAGATATAAAATAAAATAATAGAAAACAGCATCTGGCTTTGTCACTGGTACTTGGAGTGTGGGGTAATGAGATACTGGCAAAGAATCCAAGCTCAATAATATATGAGTAACACTTGCAAAAGATTAAATGAGGCACCTTTAAAACGGGATCAATAAAAAGGTCAATACCTTCTAGTTCCTATAGAAACAGGAGCTAGCATTAACAAATTTATAGCTAACATTTGCTGGTTGTATGAATTATAACTGATCATTGTCATGGTTGACAATGGATGTAGCTGTTACCATTAAAATTTCCTGGGTAGGTAAGGTAGCTATGGAGTTGCTAAAGTGCTCATCTGTTTTCTTATCCTTCAATCAAACATTATTCTAGTGATTAGATTTTTTTTGTCAAGATATCTAGCAACAGACTTGTCAACTTTCCCAGCACCATTTGGAAAGACTTAGTTTTGAGCTCTTTATGCTGGTTTTCCAGTTTGTAATTAGTGTTCTCCTGGTTAACTGTCAAGCATAAGTCTTCCAGTTTTTATGAGAGTCTTCTTGTAAATTCTCCACTAATAAAGCTACCAAGTGAAAATACTTTCTATTCCATTTCACATGCATTTTGAAAACTGTTTCAGACCATGATTCAGTTCAATTACTCTGATGAGAACATTTTTGATTTACCGATCAAAGTTTATTTACAAGTGAAGCAATTGGTTGATGCTAATTCAAAAAACATACTACTATGAATTTGAAGAATGTTTTAAAGTTAACATCTTGGAGCTGTTTTTAAAATACTTCTGTTTCTTCTTATTCTTGGTAGAATCTCTCTGTTTTTTCTGAAGTTAAAGATCTAAATCTCCAGGTTATTAAACTTTCAGGTTGACAGGTCTGTGGGGACTTTGTGCAGCATTCTCAATTCATATCTTCTCCAAGGTTGTTAGTTCTAAATGAACACAAGTATACTATTTACATTATTCAGACTATTGTCCTCATCTTTGTCGCAATATTTATTACAATGTTTCGGCCATTGTAGGCTCTGGCCTTCTTCAGGTGGGTGGAATGTCGAACTGAACCCTTTATTTCACTCACTAGAGTAGACTGTTCTAGTTCCACGTGCCATGTCTAATGGATGTCAGTTATCTCCTGTTAATTCCCCTCTCCAAGTTCTCCACTGCCTTAACCAATATATATATAGTATGACTTTCCACACTACCTTAAACAAAAGGTTTGGAAGGAACCTCCAATCAGTACTAGAAAGAGCTATAACAGTGGACATGAGAAGTCTAATTTCCTGAAAAAACTGTTTTAAAATTTTTATAAATTTCATCTGACAGTAATAACTTTTCATTTGTCTTCAGTCACTGAGTTGATCAATATTTTATTATACAAATGATTACATCTTAGCAATGTATAAAACATTTTTAATGAATAAATAAATTTGTTTTGTAGCATATTAAATTTTATATAGTATTAAACAAGTTTTCAAATAAATTTCTTATAATCAAGTTTTTCATTTACAAATTTTGAACATTTGCTTCTTGGTTTATTTGAAAAGTGCTTAATAAAACCTGAATTTATTTTTTGTTTTAATTGGTCTCACTCCAAGAAAGGCAATAAAGCCACTGAGACAAAGGGTTAGTGGATGTGGAAGAGTTAGAAACAGAAATATTGCTAAAGAGCGAGAACAAAAGAAGAGCAATCATAAGGAGAGTAGATAGTGATTGACATTATATTTGAATTCTTACAGATTAAAGTTGGCTAGAAAACAGTTCCACAAGTGAGAAGTGCAAGAAAAACTGTTAGCATAGAATTTATGGTTACATTAGTCCAACTTAACTCAGTTTGTTTCATTGAATAACAACGTATGAACAAATAATAAATAATATTTGAAAAAAACTTTTTTAGATGAAGCATTGTCAATTTTTATCTTTTCAACTGGTATTTCTTTTATCTTCATTTATTTGTTTTATAACATACTCTGAGAATGTCATTTAACAGTAGTAAGCAACATATATTAGAAATAAAGAATTTCAATGAACTCTCAGCCTCTTTATGAAGTCTGTTTTACCATGATGAGGCTATTAAGACCATGAGTTGAAGCCATTCAAATCTATTCATATATACAGAGCAACCTCAGTTCTCAAACATCTCACATGTCAAACAAATTGATTTTCAAACAGAAAATTTGAGATGAAAATGCCTCAGTTCTCAAACAAAATTTTGGTTCTTGAACAACACTGTGAAACTGAGTTAACCTGAATGGAATCTTTTCTGAGTTGACTGACATATTATAAACATTCGTATGTTGTACCATATTTTTTTTTTTCCTAATTTTATTGTACCATGACTTTTTTCTCTATATTGATTCCTACTGGAAAAATAGTTTTGGTTTACAAACACTTCAGGTTACAAATGACCTTCAGGAATGAATTAAATTTGTGGACTGAGGTTCTACTGTAGTTATTCCTTATTTTCTGCAATGACCTAAGACAATAGTAGTGTTATATAATATTTTTAATTTTTAAGATGAAGCATTGTCAGTTATTAATTTTTAATGATTAGTTTATTTTAATTTCAGTTACTTTTTATCACAAAGTTTAGTCTGTCATTTGAAATAATTAAAACCTGGTAAGTTTTTCAGATCTTAGGATAATTATAGTAGTATATTTGCAAAATTCTTAATTTCAAAATATATTAGTATCTATAATTTTATCTAGTGTATTAAATAATGATTTGTATGAGATGAAGTGTAATGAAGACAAAGGAACCCAAAAAGACTATGGTCTTATTTTGTATATTAGGTTCTTGCTGTAAATCAACCAAAGAGAAAGAAAAAATATTTTACAGTTTGTTTTGCATATATTTGTATTTATTGAATATAAACCTGGTGTTTAATACTTTACTTAATTGATACAAACCAAAATGATAATATTTTTTATAGGCATCTTTTTCTTACTGATCATTATCAATGTTTATACTGCAGTAGAGTCTTTTGGAAATGTTTCAAACCCCTCTCCTCAAAAAGTCTACATCTAGAGTCAATATTTTACTAGCCTCTTTATAAGCAAACACATATAGCACAAACTGCTTCAGAAAGTTTATTTAGAAATATCTCACTTTAATTCAAACAAAGAAAGGTTATCTAATAGAAAATGTCTGCCTAGTGAAGGTTTTATTTCTACAATTTATAAGAAATAGAAATTTATACTCTTATCAGCAATTGAGTTTAATCTATACAAAGAAAAACTGCCGATGTGTAATCAATAACACAATGAAGTTATTAATGCAAAGCACTTTCAACAATCACCCACTCTTGTTTGATTGTTTCTTAAGCAATTACAAAACATTTTGGTCTCCAGCCAAACATGACAGCATTAATCTTATATGTCTGCAGTAAATCCCCCTTCCTTTAACTGTCTTTAACCCTCTCTGTATCTATCTTCTCATCCAAATGCAAGATGGAAGACATCCAAGAAGAACCACCTACTTACATTCTCCTGGCACTGGACATAAAATTCACTAACTTATAACTTACTGTCACAAACCCTTGTTGCTCAAAGTTACAGATATAACCAATTTTGAAAGTAACGAGAAGTAAACAAATGGTCAAGTAGCCATTCTTTATTATCTATGTCTGTCTGAAAAGTATCCAGCTATGTCATGAAAAAATAAATAAAAATAGACAACCTAGAGCAATAGCATCTCAATATTTTCAAAGTACTCATATAGGGACCTCCCACATTTATCCTAATATCTCGTTTACTTTTTAAAATTGTTTCTTCAGTCCTCTTTTGGGATCACCACCAGCTGCTTTGTCACAATCTCTTTAAATTTCATTTATAATGTTTCAATAGTGATTTTTGTTATGGAACAGCTAGAATTCATGGGAGTTAAATTTGGATTATACAAGAACTGAGACCTCAAGTGGAACTCGTATATTTGATCCATTGCAGATTATAGCAAACTACCCTAATTCCACTATTTACATTATTCGGACTATTGTCCTCATCTTTATTGCCATATTTATCACAGTGTTTCAGCCGTTGTACGCTCTGGCATTCTTCAGGTGGTTGGAATGTCAAATTGAACCCTTTATTTCACTAACCCTCATAATAAAGGGTTCAGTTCGACGTTCCACTCACCTGAAGAAGGCTGGAGCGTACAATGGCTGAAACATTGTGATAAATATGGCAACAAAGATGAGGACAATAGTCCGAATAATATAAATAGTGTACATAATACCTCATTTCAGAAATATAGACAGATACCCTAATTCCCTTCATATTCCATTGGTGAGATGTAAGTTCCACTCAAGCAGATTCTCCCCACAAAGTGCTGCTTTGTGAAACCAACTCCCAAGATGATGCTTCACTGATCACTACAATGTTAGCCTGTTCAAATTTAGGGTTAGCTGTTATCTTCCCACATATCCATATAAACTATGAGTTTTAATCTGTAAACTTTTGCCTCGAATGGCTCCAGCACCTTGTACAGAGTAAAATTGTAAAATAAACTTGAGGGGTGGGGTGATGTTTTGCCAAAAAATGCTGTAAAATATGTGAAAAATATACATGCTTGGTTTTCAGAATGTGATAGTTACACAGTGTACAATATTATAAATGTTATCTCATTGCTGACAAGTCTTACTAATTAATCCATAGATGGGGGAGAAGTGGATTCATACCTTTTCCAAGAGCATTTGCACATAGTGAATATAAAGAAACTAATATGAATTGGAATTCAGCTCTTCAGTTAACAATTTCGAGCCATTAGCCATTACACCAACTGCACATCCAAGCTTACAGCACGTAGTATTTCCAGGTGGTCACCCATCTAGGTACTGACCAGTCTCAATGTTGCTTAACTTCAGTGATCATACAGGAACTGGTGTTTCAATGTGATGCGGCTGTAAGCCCCAGTCATTTATTTTTGTTGTATGCTTACACTTAGCAATGAATTATTAAAATCTAGAGTTAACCTAATTGCTTAGATAAGACATTGTTACTAATTTTTGAATTGTCTTTCATTTTAGATTTCTTGCTTTTTATCAGAACTTTCAGATCATTACTCTACTAACAGAAATAATAACAAACAAGATGGCAGCAGAGTAACAATTAAAGAATTAAGGAATATAGTTGTATGGCTTATTTGAGTGATACCTGTTCAGATCTGATCTTGCTGGGGGTTTCTTTATTTCTGATATATGCTATTTAACATTCTAAATATAAATGCTGTTATAAAATGAAATAGAAATAGGATGAAAGAAAGACTAATTGAAATGAATAATAATGGTAATGTTCAAAATTCTCATATTGTATAACAGTTCTTAAATTGATTAAAATAAGCAAGTCAAGTAAGTTTTATCAAACAAATTGTTGAGTTCTGTCTGAATTTCTGAGGTGATTATTATTATACACTGATTTATTTGAACATTTGTTTTTATCTTGGTTGTTATTGTTATAACATTGAAAAGCCACAGTCAGTAAACTATGAAATCATGTATACCTGATCATGTATACCTGATGGAAAAATGTGTGTTTGTGTGTGTATGTGGAGGGGATCAATCTTTACAAACCAAATTCAAAATAACAGTCAGTAGGATTAGGGAAAAAAAATGAATGTTAAATCACTTTATAATAGTTTTATAATCTATTAATTGATTAGAAAAATACAACAAACTAAACAATTATGAAAGTGTTCAGCTCTGATGATTTACTTCTGAAGAAAAATAAATACCATTGAAAGATATTACAATTAGCGAGTTTAGATTAAGTAAAAAAAAAACAAGTCAAGTAAACATAGCAAGTTTTATTAATTTCTTTTTTATTTAATATATTTTTTAAAAGACAGTAAAGACTGCAAAAGCAATTAAAAAAGAATAATACATTGTTTAACTTTGGGAAGCATCAACATTCCAAGATTTGTTTGAACAATTGAGCTAATTCTTTGTTGTTGCAACATTTCAGCTGCACAACTGTACAGTGTTGTTCAGGTGTAAAGTCTGTAAAGAAATATACAGTCACTACTTTTATGCTATTTTACAAGCTCGTAAACAGAACATAATAGACAATGAATTGGTCCATTTCATTTCAGCATTATACAGAATGGTGTGTTTGAAACATTGTAGTAACACTGGAAACACAAACAATGAATTCATTCATCTGAACAATACTCTGAATAAAAGGAATATTCCTTGCCTAGAATAATCTATTTGCTATATTTATTGAGGAAGAGTGCTCAATATTGAAGATATCAATAATGGGTGTATATGCAAGTAAAACACTTTTCATAGAGTGCACAGATACTACACTGATCCAAGTCAGAAGTATCAAACTATACATAAATAATTATGTCATTTTTTTTATAGGTATTATGCTAGTAAATTGATAAAACATTAAAAGCATTTTTCTTGTGCTATTTCTCATGTGGCGTACTTGTTATCAGCAATTTGTCCTGGTGTAAATGATTCAAACTTTGAGAAGAAAATAAAACTCAAAATATAGGAACAAAAAGTGAACATGTTACTAATGTGGCTTTTTAATTAAATTTTAATTCATGAAACAATATTAAACTAAGCTTACAAAGTTTGCATCAAATACACAAAAGAACGTTCCTTATTATTCAAATTATAGGCTTTAATAGGATAAAGAAACCAATCAATGATCAGGTGAGATTACTTACCATGATGATTTATATAATTATTGTCTGAGCCTAGTTTAGTGGTCAACTTTTAAATCAAAGACTATCTTTAGTATGAAGTAGAGAAAACTACAATTTTAAAGTTAACAATAATTATAAAGCTTTAAAACACATAAGAGTAGATCATTAAGTCTGTAGTCTGATTTATATTAACTGAATAATGTTTAATCTTTTTGATTAATGGATAAGCATAAAGGTATAGTGTATTGTCAAGGAAAGAGATTACGTTGAAAAAAATAAACATTTATTATATAAAATAAATGTATTTTGTCATTAGGTTATTGAATTATGTAATTAAATAAATAATAATATTTCTTAAACTCAGTTTAAAAAATGGCAGTAAATACAGGTTATTAACTTGAGATATTCAGTTTTATTTACTTACCTCTTGAAATGATCAAGTTATGGTTCTACTTATGAATGCTGAGAATATCATAGAAAGAGCATGAAACAAATGAGGAAGTTTTAAAAAGAAAAGTAAGCCAAAACTTGATAACTGTTAGAAAGAGACAGCTGAAATTTTGGAAGAAGAAAGAACTGGAGAATTTAACACTCAAAAGGCACATAAAAGAAAGTAAGAGACTGACTCATAGGTGCATACCAATAAGTATTAGTTGCAGAGTACAATATGTATAGTCTGGGGAATTTCCAATAGGACTTGATAGGAAAACAAAACAATTTAAAAAATACTTGTATTATTTTGTCTTTTGTTAAATAAGTGAAAATCGCAAAATATACAAAAATATTTCCACAGAAAAATAATAGATTTTAATGTGTAGAGAATTACTTGGACAAAATTAATAGAAATTAAAAAAATTACAAATATATAACATGGTTCTAAACAATGATGCAACCAAGTAAACTGATTTGAAATTTTATATTTTTTGAGAATAAAAACCATTCACATTTATAATTTTTCTTCAACACCAAACAAAAAGATTTAATTATGACCATCAAAGCATTTTACACATTTAAAGTACACTTTGAAAATTATTGGAAATATTAGGATGATTTGTGTGTGTCTGTAAAATTAACAGCTTTCGTAATGTAAGAAAAAAAATCATAAAAAATTGGCATGTTCTTTTGAAAGAATCCTTTAATTTTTTTCTACATTATAAAGGTTAATTGATTTGTTTTTTATGGCTTATCAACCCTTTGTGGGTTATTTAAAGCTAAAACATATTTCCGATTGTATGAGATTGCTTATAGTAACTGGATTTCCCAAGTGGTCCCCTATTTAAGTGCTGATTGTGTTCAATACTGCTTAACTTTGGTGATCAAATGAGAACCAATGTTTTCAGTATGATTTGATCAGAAATGCATTATAAAAAGTCAAGTTATTAAAAGATCATTAAAAAAAATCCTATATATTTTTAGGCAAGGCATTGTAACTATTGTATGTTGTTTCATTTAAACTTATTTCTGTGATTTTATTTTTATTTCAAATAATAAATGTCCTTTGCAACCTGTTGTATTTTAGGATGTTGAACAACGTCCTAAGAGGACATAACAAAAACACAACAGAGATGAGTAAATTAGTTTGAATAAATCAAAATACAAAGGAAATTACTTTAAGCTATCCAAACTTTAGATAAAGCTTTGTAACTTAATTTCTAACAGGTTTCTTTTTCTTGGTTTATGAGCCTCAGTCAGCAACTTGTAGTGCTATCCATGTGATACAAATTCTCAAATATAGAGGTTTTGAGTTCAAATCACTAGTCTGAATGTTCATTTTTAATGTATACTCCTAGAATGTAAAATGACTTGAGCATTGCAATAAATAGCAATTAAAATACAAGAAAGGAAAAAACTATAAAAAAAATTAATAATAATGTTTCATCTAAGGAATTCCAATAAAGGAACAACTAAGTAAAATTTTTTGAAACTGGATAATTTAGGAGAGTAGTGTAAGAATTCTAATTTGTAAATTCTCCATGATGACAAACAAAGAAACAGATTTCATTCTTTGACTGAAATTTCAGATGAATTATTAGTAATTCCGGTTCAGCTTTCAATGTATCATTTTATGAATGGAGTTACCGGATCCAAGTCAATCAGAACTAAATTATCTGATCATGACAAAACATAGAACATGTTGAGACAAGTAACAAAGTATTGACAATATTCATGAACTACAAATGAAAAGGATTAAAAAAAAATGAATCATCATATATAGGTTAGTTTGTACTGTCTTTTTTGTGGTTTTCTCACAATATTTTGGCGGCAACATAATCTCTGCCTTTCCTTAGGTCTTTGGTTTTGTCTTGAAATATTGAATGTGGCTTTGAAGCCAGGAGGGACATACATTTCCCCTGTCATACCTATCAGATCTGGTGCTTGTGCATTCTTGAGATTATTTACACCTGACCTATGCCCTAAAATCATGACCTTCCAGCAAACCTATTTCTCAGGTCAAACTTTTGGAACATTGGGTTCATAACTTAATCTCTCCTGAGTAATAGCTCCTATAAGCTATGAATATCTAGGCTCCATCTGCAAATCAGATTATCTGAGCACAGTATATATGCAGATCTCATCAACCTTATTATTCTCCAATGCTGTTTCCTATCTGTTATTATTACATTTCATAAGCATTGGAATACCCTGTCACTCTATGCATGGTCAAAACAGCAAAGTTTAAAGAAATTAGTTTATATACAATAATTAAAGCAACTCATTTAAAAAATAAAAACAAGTATTTTAAGTATCAAATGTAGAAGTAAAGATTTTCTTTTCAGCTCAGTGAGGTCTTCAATTGAGGATTCTGAAAAATCAATCTAAATATAAAATGGGATAGCTATAAATAAAAAGGTGACATCAGTGCCCCCAAAATATTAATCCAAGGTAATAATCAAATACAATATAACTTATAAGATCCTATTATAGGTACAGAAGATTCATGTAAGCAAGAAGGAATAACATTAACAAGTTAAAAAGTATGAGTGGTTTTATAGAAGTGGATTGATTCCCATAGAATAGCTTTCTATAATAATACTAAGTATATAAATAACTTCTAGTATGAGGATTGATTGATAATTACTTTTACCAACTGGAGATCTGCACATGTATTTGTGAGTATGTAAGGTCCTGTTCAAACATGCCTTTTTCAGCTTACTATGTCACATCATTGAGTAATAGTATTTACTAATCATGATTACCACATCATGAGTTACATACAATCAGTAAGAGATGTTTTGGT